CTGCCGTGATATTGCTGGAATATTGCTAGAAGCGGCGTAAAACCATACTCGCTCACTCACTTATTAACACCTCCAGGATATACAGGTTGCTTTCAAAATCGTAGCGATGCACTGATCTACGCTTGCTGTCCAGAATCCACCCAAACAGTTAATTGAAACTAATTTATTCTGTATTTCATACAGTATTGCTAAAACCGGCGTTAAACCATACTGGCAACTCTCTCCAACTCTCCCTCCTTTACTCACTCACTCACTCACTCATCATCTCACACAAACATCCGGGAACTTTTGCTCATAGTGACATATGGCGCATTTCTCGTCCCACCTGAAATGGCGTGTCTGGTTAACGATGTCCAAAAATGTATGAAACTCTGGAGCGAGTCTGACTTGAAACGAGAGGATGATTTCATAGTTTCAAACGCAACGCTGCTTTGTCTGTATCATTGTCAATGTTCTATCTGTCACGACCCTAATACAGGATCCCGTCACATAGTTGAAATACTGGCAACTCTCTCCCACCATCCCTCACTCCTCGCTATCTTACGCCTTAGAAAAACAACCAGCCAAACAAATATCAGATGGAATTTTACATATTTATCATACATAGCAACTGCTTAAAACCAGCTACCATAATAGTCACATACGGCGCCAAACAAATATCAGATGGAATTTGAACAAAAGGTGAACCAAATATCGATTGACAAATTCCTTCAACTGTAATTATTCATTAAAACCAGCGTTGACATTTTGTCTTATATTGCAAACATAACATACATATCACCGGTGAAACATCTCGTATCATCCAACACTGTGTGGTTTGATAGGATTTCAGCCAATAACAATTCGTTATTTTGCTATCAAATAGTCAGAGTTAATGCTGCTGCAATAGACAAAGACGTCAAGACACATCCCTGTGTACGTGCAGTGAATATGTTATATACAGATATATAGGTCATTTTCAAAGGCCAAAGTTCTGATCTCGCATATATCTCGGATCACCCTTGCGGTAAGTCAGTGAATAGTTCTACATCCCTTTACACACAATTCATGCAATAGTACGTTTGTTTTACTCAATTATGAATTATATTTCGCTGTCCTTTCTACCATTTTAGAACAGAATAAAGTAGCTTCCATGTAATATTATGTACAATGATCTTTTTTTCAAACAATACTACGAAATACTCTTTTACCACTGCAAGGATTATTTCAGACGGACCGGAAATAAAGAAATTAAATCTGCCACACGTGAATGCAGCCTGGCAGTTGACCCTCAAAAACATTAACACCAATATAAGAAAATACTGACTGGTTGGATTGTTGTTTAACGCCGCACTCAGTAATAATCCAGCTCTAAATACATTTGCACTGCATTTTCTGGGATAAGCTGGTAACATTATAAAGAAAATGCATAAAGATTCGAGCAAATTATTTTACTTCTACAAAACCTTCACCTTACAAAAATGTATCCTGTATAAGAATACCTTGAACAAGAGCATGACATCACCCAAATGGTTTAATGACAGAAGGTGGGAGTCATCGAGTGTACTAACTGGTAGCCGTGTCTTCAGCTGCAGGCATTTTGTGAGGAGAGTGTGTCTGGTGTCACGTGACTAGCAACAGTACGAATTTCGGAAAAAAACCCCCATTGCAACAAAACTACCAAAAGTCACTCCAAACCATTGGCACAGGCTAAACAGGCCATTCACATAGGTCTTATATTCATCTATTCGTCTTCCATTAGTAAACTAAAGAAGGGGACTGTGGCCTGGGGCCATATCAAGGTTTCAGAATAAATGAATCTGGTTTAATGCCACTTTGAGCAGCATCACTGTTAAAAGAAGAGGTTCTTGACGTTCGACGAAAGTCTGCAATGATGCACATCTTTCCACTTTGACGAAACAGAAGGACTATGCCATCATACACCACCACACACAGTGAATGGTCTAAGGTTCTCCATCGTATACATAAACAACGTGTTGCACAGCGCTTGATTCAACTTTCCCTTTCTGCAGAAATTCCGGTGGTTGATTGGACTTATTCCCACTCATTGACTTACTCCCAAAGCAGCCAACCCAAACCTGATGTCTGTGTCAATGATTTGTTCATTATAGAAACATGTCAGTTACGGCGATGCTGAAAAACATTTTCCACTCCAATGGCCCCACTCAGTAGAGGGTGCGACTGGCACTATGTGCTCTTGTTCCACCCGTTAAACGGTGAATAGCAAACAATGCATTTGTGGGACAAATACATTAAATGGTTACAAAGACCTCGTCAGATCAATGTTGGCTAGAAATTGGACCTTTGAGAAACTTGCTAAAACAATGATTGCTTCATCTTTGTCCTGAGACTATGACGAAGGATAGACAGAATGGTTTGTCACTGTTTCTCAGAGAGGACAACTGGGAGATCTGCCTCTATACTGAATATTACAATGGTGGTGACATTTAGTGACCGTTCCGCCAATCGGGACAGCCAAACGTTTACATGAGAGGGAATGACAAAGGGAAATTGGTAGGGAAAATCCTTATTTTAGTTTTGTCTGCTTGCTGCATTGGCCTAAGATAGTTCATTCATGGGGAAACGTGATTTTCAAAAGAATAGACATAAGAAAGACCACCGGCCTTTTGTTTCGAGTATTTTTGCATTTAATTAATGTAGGAAGTGTCCTCAACATTGGAAGTGTCTTAGAGCAATATTTTGGACAACTACTGTTAGAAGAGTGACCAGAGTCGGCAGGGGCAATTTAGGTATACTACAGAGAAGAGGAAACAGAAGCCCCGTTCAGTTAACATGGAAAAGTGTGTACAAACTGTCTTTTGGATAAACTACCATTCTGAATCACTGTCATTAGCTCAGGGTGTGGGTGAGTCATTGACATGTTTCCAACTTGGACGGAATCGCTTGTACAAATACAACAGGAAGCTGCATAGATGTGTTGATGTCATACAAAGGCTGCCATCGATTGCACAACAAAATGATTTGTTAACATGAAGGTTGAGGTTGTTGTTGTCCGACCTAGGACTGTGTACACCCTCGTTGTCAGATTTGTGTTGGCTTCTTTGGGAGTAAGTCAATGATTACTTTCCAGCGTGGACGGAATCCCTTGTACAAATTCCACAGGAAGCTGCAAAGATATGTTGATGTCATACAAAGGCTGCCATATATTTACAGCAAAATGATTTGTTGACACGGACGCTGAGCTTGTTGTCATCCGACTTATGACTGTGTTAGGGGATTATATAATGTATCTAGAAAATTATACACCCTCGACGTCCTTGTATGTTTGATGTATACAACTGATCTCTATATATACTCATGCTCATAATAGTTGTCACCTCATCTGTGGTTACTCAGTGTTTGTGTTTAACAGCTTTTCAGTTTTCATTTGTCAATCCTTCCATTTTTGTTTAATGGTTTTATTGAAACTCAATGCTATTAACACTGAATAATTATCTACAGAACTTTGTATGGCTAATATGTTAGTAAAAGACCACCCAAAGACATGTTCCCCTCAAAACTACTAACTTTACACGATTGACTTGTGAAAAAGCTAGCTTTATTCAATAACAAATTTGTTGCAGATTTGAATATTGAGGATAAATGTCTCAGAACATTCAGTTGTCAGGAAAATGATAGTCAATAGCGAGTAGCTCCGCCACGTGCTTCAATAAGGGATGTAATCCGTCGCCCCATGCTATCAACAAGATTGCTGACAATGTGTCGTCCTGTAGCGTTCCAGATTCGACAAGGACGTCCAGATTCGAACCAAGGCTGTGCCAAAGTCATCCAAATTTCAGGAGGTACTACCAACTGTCGCACTTGCCTGTCCAGAGGGTCCCAAATGTGCTCAATTGGATTCATGTCTGGGCCAGGAGGCCAGTGCAATCTGTTAACACTCTCCCTTTCCAGAAAAGCACCAATGGCCCTGGCACGATGTGGAGCAGCATTGTCATCTTGCAGCAGAAAGTTGATGCCGTACACTTGTCGTGCATATGGAATCAAATGTTTTTCCAAAATGCCAAAATGCCATGAACAACACAAAGTTCTGTTTTTCCATCTTAATGAACCCCCATCCCATACCAAAACAGAGCCAACCCGCTCGCAACGTAACCTTCCACACAGTTTTCCATAAACCTTTCTCCAGTTAATCGTCGAACTCGATTTCTTCCATCTACCCCGTGTAGAAGAAATCTTGATTCACCACAAAAAATGACATGACGCCAATGTTGTAACAATATGTTACGATGACATTGGGCCCACTCAAGTCGACGTTACTTATGCAGAGCTGTTAGAAGTGGTCGACGGAAAGATCTTTTTGCGTTATACCCCCTCTCCATTGGCCTACGGTTGACTGTTTGCCATGGTTTATTGTTAATTTTAACTTTTTAAGTCACAATACAAGAATATTGCCCTATAAATTTTCTCACTCTTTCTCTTAACGCCATGGCAGATAAACGTCGATGTCGACATACAAGGTGGAAGAGAACCCTGTCAGTTCGCAAACCCTGTCCCTTGCGTCAGTTTTTCGGGGTCTGTCTGTAGGCATTTTTAGTACTAATGACTTAGGATTCGGTGCAACCTATTTATTCTCTGTACGCTTGTAACGCTTACGTGCAACTCATGACTTATGGCACGGTTGTTAACGCCAACTCTTGAAATTCCTACAATCTGGTTACGTACTACAAGTGACAATGGTGCTGGCATTATTTTTTGTAGAAAATTCTTCTGAATATATTGCTGCATGCTTTGTTGATGCTTCACTAAAATCTACTTGCGGAGACGTGTTTGGACACACATTTTCATCAGACATATACAACATTTGAGTTGGATACGATATATATTGCATGAAAGTGAGAAAATCTGGTTATCTACCGGGGTGACAACCATTATGAGCATGAGTGTATGTAGCTTCCCGTGTCTCCGTGGTAGCTATTTAGAATGGTTCGTGCCTAATGTGCCTGCCTCTCATTATAGTGGAAACGAAAGACCCAGATGAGATTTCAACATGTCCGAACGACTTGAGCCATGGGCATGGGTGGTGGTAGTGGCATCACTCTGTGCTCTTTTCCTCAACACGGGCCTGTCCTTTGTTGCCGGTGTCATGCACGTGGCGCTTCTAGAGACGTTTCAAGATGACGTCACACTGACGTCGTGGATTGGCTCTCTCTACTCCTGCATGTTTTCTCTTTCAGGTATTTTCTTAAGAGCATTAACTTCACGCTACACAAAGAATATTTACATTTGTCAAGTGTGCTGTTCAAGGCTGAAGAAGCTTTCAACACATCCCATGAAATAAAGTACTATATTAAAATAAAAGTGCTATAACAAGTCTGTCGCATTTAAACAGCGCACTCATTAGCAAGAATTATAGTGTTTTGGAGGGATAGGACGTTCGTTCAGCAGAAATTGCCGAGGGTCACTATTACATGGTTCTTTGTCATGCTTCTGTTCACAACTTCATCTGGTATTTCACTGGTGACAAATGTTGAATTCTTGATGTTCTTTTCACTTTTCCTTTATTTCAGGTCCCGTGGCCAGCTTCATCATCAACAGATGGAACTGTCGGTGTTGTGTCATAGTAAGCGGTGTGCTTGGCCTCGTTGGATTTGCTTCCAGTAGCCTCGCTGGTGACATACGCTGGCTCTTCCTCACATACGCCCTGATGGCTGGTGAGTCAGGACAGGGGTCACGGGTGTTGGGTATGGAATTTAATGTAAGCGTAGTATTACATAAATGCCTATTTATCAACTTATTACTTTTCAAGCTGATTTAGAAGCAAATGATGTTTTATCGTTTCATATTTTTGCTTTTATGAACATTAGAGTGTCAAACATCAAGTTAACAAATAATTTATAAAAGCTGTGCTATTGTAGATTGTAAATTTAATACGTAACATGAATACGTTTTCTCAAACTGCCAAAATAAAAAATAAAAACCCAACAAAAACACACACTCGGTGATAAAGAAGCAACTATTTACACATCACACTATAAATCAAGTAAATTTCAAGTAATTTATTCACTCTGAATATTTAAATTATGTTTCTAGGACTTGGTCAAGGGTTGTGCCTCACCGGGTGTTTGGTGCTGCTCGGGTTTTACTTCAAGAAGCAGACAAGCCTAGCCACAGGAATAGGAATAGCTGGCTGTGGACTTGGCACCTTTCTTCTTCCCCCTCTGACACAGCATCTGGTGGACGGGTATGGACTCAAAGGGGCCTTCCTCTTCCTGGGAGCAATTGCCTTTCAGTCTTGTGTGTGTGGTTTTCTCATGAGACCATCCCGACACGAGCGCAAAAGTCACGAGAGCCAAAAGGCAGATAGAGAAACCAGCCAAGAGAACTTAGCTTCAAGATGCCAATCCTGCTTCAAGAAAATTCGCTCATGCTCTATACCACACTTCCTAAACATGGCCTTTTCCTTGTATCTGTTAAGCATCCTGATTTTCACAATTGGAAGCTCTATCCTAAAGCTGTACCTGCCTGACTTTTTTATGAAGCAAGGGTCTACCTTCCAACACGCTTCTTCACTTGTATCATTTTATGGTATCGGCGGCATCTTGTCCAGGATCTGCCTCGGATTTACTGCAACGGATCCCCAAATTGGACCATTGCTTCTGTACATAGGGATCAATGGTCTGACCAGTGTTCTTGTGTATTTCCTATACCCACTAACTCGAACGTCTATGTTGAAGATTATATTTTCGTTTTGTTATGGACTTTATAATGGTGGCACCTGGTCCCTGTTAAACCCAATAACATATAACACCGTGGGAGTACATCATCTAGCATCAGCCATGGGGTTGGTGATGTTTACAAGCGGAACAGGGTTCCTCATTGGTGGACCCATTGCAGGTAAGTCAGAGACTGGAATACATTTTGGTTTAATTCTTTTAGAGCATTGTTGAATGATATGGGTCAACGAGAGTTTGTCGTATTGCCCAAATAGTCGCTATTAAGGTTTGAGTTGCACCTAATGCTTCAAGCAGATGTCTGAGCCATGGGGTTGTGGGCCTCCAGCAAAAGTTGAACAGTGCCGTTTGCACTTTACAAGAGTGAGCACTATTCAAAGCACTAGGTTTTTGTATGTGTTCTAAGAAAGACAGGGGAGTCTTGAAAGACATCTATCGCCATTGAATCGATCAGTTGCATCGTCTCGCAACTGTAGCTGTGAATCTCGATACGTTCCCACCACACGTCCCTTATTTGATTTCCACAAAATGGTTACAAAATGTTGAAGTGGCCATCTAGGTGGTAACAGCAAGTATTATGCAAAATACGACGGAGTCCGGATGGAATCAAATCCGAAGTCTACACTGAGTATCGCGTGATGAATCAGCACTTAACTACTTTGGTTTGAAATATGAATTATGCGTGGTCTGGTGCATCTGCGACCAAATACTATTCTGTAAGTTTATTGACCTCTTTTTTGTAATTTAAGGATGTCTGTGATAGATACCCCTGTATATATTGGTCCCAAACACCTGGCTGTCCCTCTGGACAGAATAGGAAAACACATGTATTTCATGTAAATATCGCTCGGTAGGTGAGGTTTCCGGATATCTGGGGTCCACTGTGAATTGGATTGCTAGTCATGAATTTGGGTTACAGCCCATTCTACCCATACCACACCAAGAACCATTGCTGCCACCGTAGGGGTAAATGCCATTACGATCTGTCAGAACCTTAAGCTTCCATCTCACAGTAAGCGGAAACGCCATGCCAGAAAACAGAAACCGTCTAACATCACTCACTGTTTCAGGAATGCTGCTTGAGGCGACAGGAGATTATTACATCGCAATCATGTTTTCAGGTGAGAAATTCAAGGTATCAAAATCAATCG